TGCCGGGCTCGATGCAGCACAGCCGCGCGCGGAGCTTGCGTGGCCGGAGAGGGTCGGGGGCACAAGCCCAGCTTCTCTGGAAGCCTCCCTGGATCGGGTTTGACCTTCACATGGCCTCGAGGCACTCACACAAACAACGTCGATCAGGACGCGCCACTGAGCAAAACGAGCTGTCGCTGCCCATTAACACGGGGGACTGCATTTGTTCCTGGGGCGGTCGGTGCCACTGAAAGTTGCTGGGCTGGTCCGTGACAGGGGAATCGGGCCCTCCGGCTCTCCTTGGCTCACCCTGGGCAAAGTCAAACCTCCGAGAGGAGGAGCTAGCAGGAAGTGTGGTGGGGCGGGCAGGCGTGGCCTCCGGAAGGGCCTCTGCTGATGGGGCTGCTGTCGGGGTGCAGCCCCATCTCTGGCCTCAGCCAGCTGGCATCCAGCACAGCCCAGGGCCCCAGGAGGCCCCTGGCCCTCGGTGCTGCCCAGTATGCAGCCTGCATGCAGTTGTGCATTCACACATGCAGCCAAGGACAACTATTTTGCATGGAGCAATTATGCAAGCACATTTCCACCACTTACTTTGCTGCAAAAGATTGGCCTTTGTGTGCGGTGGAGATCCCGGAAACGAGCGCTTCCCTGGTATGGTGTGCGGCACGCAGACCTGGGCTATGGGGCAGCACCTCGCACAGACATGCCCCCCAGGAAAAGACACCGACTGGCCCACCAGTGATCAAGACGCGGCAGGAGGCGCGAGGGGCACACTCAGAGACCTTCAGCTGGGGCACAGCAAGCGAGACGGCCGGTCTCCTGTGCGCCAAGCACAGGGTTGCGCCTCTGCCTGCCTCTCTTACTCTCCCATTTCCAGGGCCGAACTGCCCCAAATGCAGTAACTAGAAGAGTGTCCCAATGGCGGCAGGTTCTGCCACTACGGAGCGCTTGGCATCTTCTCTGGATGCCTGTGTGGCGTTCGAGTGTGGCGATGGGGGCGCGGAGGAAGCAGGAGCAGCTACAGCTGACGGGCGCTGGGGCTCTAGCCCCTCCCGCCCCCGAGGGCACCCCCTTTGCCCCAAGGGCCAGTTGCAAGCTGGGCGAGGCAGCAGGCGCGGTTTTCCTGCACCGGCCGCAACAAGGTGGGCTGGCAGCTTGCAGCTTCCGAAGGAGGGAGTCCGAGGACTCCTGGGGCCACCCAGGTGAAGCTGAGAGGCCAGCAGGCAGCTGTGCCAAGGCGGTTAGGCACAGTCGAACGACCTCGGCATTATTCCTGCATGTGTGCGTGCACGTTTGTTGCCCTCTTTTCCACCCTGGTTCTCTTTTAAACTCCGTTTTTACAACTGGACTTCTGGCTGTGGCGTTTCAAAAGGCATTTCTCACAGAACGATTCCTCACCTGAAAGACTGCAGCACTGCAAGGGCACCGTGTTTGTTGCGAGAGTCCTGCAAGGGTTTGGGCAAGCCTTCAGTTTCTGGACTTTGGGGAGGAAACCCCAAAGCACCATCCCTTTTTACCCATGGCTCCCCTAGGCCTGGACTGACGGAGGGGACCCTGGCAAGAAGTGGCTAGATGCTCCCCAAGCTGGGAGCAGACTGGGGGTCTCAGGAAGATCATCTGGACTGGCTGCAACCTGTCAGAAATTATTTTCGTGGAGAACCTGAACTACAAGGACTTCCCTCGGGGGCATGAAGTCCCGCTGCCCATGTGCAAAGCCCTCTGCCACTCCGAGCAGCAGGACTAGCTGTGCCGGGATCCCCGGGTGGGGTGGCCCTGACACCCACCCCACGTCACACGCAGCCTTTAGCCAAGGAGGCAGCAGGCTCCGGGGCCAGTTCTGGCATCGTGGGAGAGTCGCGTGGAGCTTGGTGCCCCCTTCAGGCCTGGCTCTGGGAAGGAAGGCTCCAGCTACCCCCAGGATGGCTGAAGGCAGCCTCGAGGCGGGGGCTTGCCCACCACCACCGTGGAGACGCGGCTGGCCATTGCGATCCCACTGGCTGCTGGCACGTGCTCAATGTCTCCCGAAGCCCGAGGTGCCGCGGGTGGGGACGGAGGGCACGGGGGAGGAGCTGCAGCCGCTTCCTCAAGGAGGAAGCAGGAGAGCCGATGGTGAACAGATCCCCTCGCCCACCCACTCTGTGGGCGAATTTGGCTGGAAAGCCAGTAGCAAGGGATGCCAAATTAGGCCACTTCCTTTAGACATGAGAAAGAGAACAGGGCAGCCCACCAGCAGGAAAACTGGGCTTCTCTTGTTCTGGGGCTGCGAAACATCTTTTTCCTTCAGCAGCCAGCCTAAGGATGTTCAAAGGAGATGCGCAACTTGCTGCTACCACCACTAGTCCTGCTGGCACTAGGAAAGGCTTCTGCGCACTGGTGCAGCCGCGGCGGTGGCTTGCTATGGCTGCTGTGAGGTGGCAGAGCCCTCGGAACCAGCAACTGCATCTAACCCACCGCACAACCTCCTCACAAGTCGTAAAATCCATCAACCACAGAGTGGCACGTGACTTCTCGAAACAAGGAACTGGGTCAACCACCTGGCACACAATTTTTAAAGACGTAAAACTTGGGAAATCATCTGGTACAGAATTTATGCATTTAATTTGGGGCAACATAGGCAGAGACACAAAAATAAGGACTTGGAAGACAGGCGTGTAGCACCACCAGGAGTCTGGAAGGAACAGCGAGCTCTGGAGAGGCATCTCTGTAGCCCGGCTGCACACAAGCTTTTTATTGATACAGTCCACTGGCACATGGTGTGAGGTGTCCAGAGGTTTATGGCAAGGGGTGCCCCCTGTGCATGCACGAGGAGGACATTCCAGGCCTTAAAATTGGCTGGCTTCTTCTCACGAGCAAGCTACACACTCGCCATGTCCTGGAGGCCCGCACCACAGACGGGGCACAAGCAGCCGCTTGCAGAAACTCCCTGCCAAGAACGGGGATGGTTTAAGGACCCTGGTGCTCCCTCGATGTGCCCCCCTTGGAGGACCGCTCCAGGCGCCCTGCCCCGGGGGCACCCGCACTGGGATGGGAAGGCACCACTGTGCAGCCCTGCCCGACTGTCCCGGACTAGCCTCTGATGTTGCAAGACCCCAAAGCCAGTGGGCTCTGCAGCTTCAGCAGACAAGCACCCCAAGTTGCTGAGGACAGAAGTACTGTATTTTTCTGTGTATAAGATGATACTTTTTCTTTAAAATATTTACCTAAAAATGGAGGGGCGTCTCATACATGGGGGGCAGAGAGAACCATGGGCACACTCGGGGGGGGGGAGACTGGCACAGGTATGGGGCATGCACGGGGAGACGGCAGCTTGCTCACGCGGAGATCAGTAAGAAAAGTGGGGGGCGTCCTATATATGGGGGCATCTTATAGACAGAAAACTACGGGAAATACAATGCTGGGGGTGGGGCATATGAGGACCACCCACGGGAAAACGGCCTCCGCCAGAGCACAAGCGCAGTGGGAGGGCTGCTGGCCAAGGACCCGGAGCAAGGCAGCAAAGCCCCTTGAGGCCCAGCGGGCTGGGCCTGGGGGAGGTGCCCTATTTGCCTCGATTGCAAGGTTCGAAGTTGCTGCTCTGGGTCCCGGTACCGTGTCCACACTCAGTGCAACTGTTGTGAGTGGCAGGATGTATGTGCCCTGGCCACCGCCCAGCCACCCTTTGACACTGGCTGGATGGTGCTTCCCTTCCTAAAAGGAACAGCTAAAACGGGCTATGTCGTCTGTGGTTCACAACGGAGACAACTGCAGTCAGTCGATCACATTACTGAATTCCTGCTCAAACGGGAAACAACCACCTTCTCTCCCCGAACAGCAGTCAGCCGGCAGAACTGGCCGGCAACAGGTACCGGGCCTCGCACCTGACACCCTGCCTCTGCTACCTAAATACCCACATCGATAGGTGGAACCTACAAAGGTATAAGCATGCACTCATTGACACATAACCAGGCCAGAGAAAAACCCTCTTTTCTAGAAATCGGCACTCGGGCATCCCGGAAATATAGCTGGCACTGCCCAGGCGGCTGCAGCAGCTCAAACCAAGAGCCAGTCCCCCCCCCCCCCGGGCCGCCCCCGCCCCCCAAACCGAGCCCCCCCCCCCCCCCCCCCGGCCCCGCGCCGCCTCCGCGCGGCAGCGCCCCCGCCCCCCCGGGGACGCAGGAGAGGTCCCGCCACGCCGCCTCTTCCCTTCCGTGACCCACTGCAGTGCTCATGCGCTGCGTGCGACCCTGTGCTGAGTAAAGGGGCAGCGGGGGGCCACCCAGGCCGAGCGGCCGTTCTCGAGAATCGCTCCCTTGCACGAAGCCTTCCCTCGGCGCGTTCTCTGGGCCCGCGCACGCCGGGCGCGCAGCAACTGCCCGCCGCCGCCGCCGGAGGCACGCAGAGCGCCGGGAGGCCGGCCGGACCCAGCCAGGCTCGGGGAGGCCGCGTCCCGCCTCGCTCCGCCGCCGCGATGCGCGGCCTCTTCTGGCCGAGCCGCTTGGTGGAGCCCCCGCCTCGCAGGCTCCGTCCGCAACGGCCCCGGGCCTGAAACCGCGCGGGAGCCCCGCCCACGACCCCTGCGCCCCCGCGGCCGGCTGGGGATGATGGGGGCCGCCGCCCGGCTCGGCCAGCCCCGAGCGGGACGCGCGCAGAGGCCCGCCCCGCGCGCCCCGCCCCGCGCGCCAGTGCGCAGGCGCCGGGCCCGCAGGCGCCCTCCTCCGCGCGGCGGCACCATGGCGCAGGCCTACGCGCCGGTGGAGGCCGGGCTCGGGCCCGAGGAGAGCTTCCTGTCGCTGGCCGACATCCTCATGTCGCAGGAGCGGCTGCCGTGCCGCGCCGAAAGCGCCCTGCCTCGCCTGGGGGCCGTGCTGGGCAAAGCCGCCGCCGCCGCCTCCGCGCACGACGACGCGCTGCCCGAGGTGAGGCGCGCCCGGCGGGGGGACTACCGCTCCCGGCAGCCCCCGGGCGGAAGGGGCGACTTCGGGGAGCCGCTTCCGGTCAGCCGGCGCGCCGGGAGGCTGCGCGACGATGCGCAGGCGGGGTAGAGTTGGGGATGAGTCCGGGAGCCTTTTTGGGGCGGGAGCGGTGCTGCCTCGGTGCTGCAAACAGAAAGCGGCGCAAGGGCTTATTTGCGAGGCCGGGAAGAGCATCGCCCGCGAAGGAGACATGCTTCCGCGATCGCCAGAGGCGGTCGCCGGGTGGGAAACCGCACGAACCCGCGGCGGGGCGCGGGGAGAGAAGCGCGCATTTCCATGTGCAAGGGACACGCGCGACTCAGGCGCAGTTGAGCGAGAGCGGCGGCTGCACGCGCGTGAGCGGAGCGCAAGACCTTTGCACGTGGGAGCGCTTACCTGGGGCCGGGTCCCGCCTTCTCCGCCCAGGTGCCCTTCAGGTATCTCGGAGTTCAGCTGCCAGCCAGCCAGCAGGGCCAAGGGCCTAGGTTGGGATCCAACACTTCTGGAGGGCGCCAGGTTGGAGGAGGTGCGGTACCCTCTCGCTGCAAGGCTGAACTGCAACCCCCCCCCCCCCCCGTTCCCAGTCAGCATGGTTTGTTTGGGTTGATGGGAAATGCACTTCAATCCATTTGGAGGGCTCCAGGTTTGGGAAGGCTGGGACAGAAAGCCTCTTCAGTTTCACTTGTTCTTAGAGAAACCACAACTGTGGTTTGGGGGGTGCCCATCTGAAGCAGCTCTCCCCCCACAGTGCAAAATGCTGAAAAACAGTAATTTCATGGTGTCCGGTTTTGTGCACCGCACTACAGATGATTCCTGTCATTCCAGGAGGTACTGAAAGTTCCACTGCACCATCCCCTCCTTCCTACAATGGTCCCTGCACCTAGCATGTTCCTTTTCAGTGCACAGACCCACTTGCTCGCCAAACTCCTCTTCCGAGAATTTAAATTTTCAACTCCTGGTGATAGATTTTAGAGCTGTTGCCTCAGAGTAATAGTTGGATTGTTGCTAGAGTGCCTTCCTTACTCCTGATCTTCATCTCTGTGTGTTTCGCCACATGGGCCATTCAGGGAACAAAACTGGAAATGCCTCTCTGGTTGGCGAAAGGCTTGTACGACAACAAACGGCGAATACTTTCGGTGGAGCTGCCCAAGGTTTACAAGGAAAGCTGGCGGACGGTGTTCAGTGCGGATGCCAGCGTGGTGGACCTGCATAAAATGGGGCCCTATTACTACAGGCTTGGCTCCCAGCTGCTAAATTTTGACAGTCCTGAAAATGTCGACGTAGCCCAGACGATACTGCAGGTAAAACTCTGGCTTGGCAGGAACTGTCCCTTCCCTGCTGCTGCTTTCTGTCTGCTTTGCAATGCGCAGCTGTTCCCTTTCTGGACGGCAGGGTTGCCTGTCCCGTGGGATAGCTGCTGGTGTTCTGTCCTGAGGATCCAGCCAGTCCCAGCCACTCCCTCGGCCTCTTCTGTATAGTGAGTGGAGGGATTCTGGAATTCCTGGGACCCAGAAAGAGGGCAGTGGCCAGAGCTGTTACCTGGCTGTGCCGAGCAGCTCACTGGGCCAGTTCAGACCTAATGTTAGACTATGGCTTAGTGTTACAGGAAGAGATGGTCTTAAGCACTTTTTTCCTTCCTGCTTGTCTGCTTGCTTTAGAAATTGTATTTAATTCAGCCACTTGTTTGACAGGAAAACAATGGCTAACTAAGTCTGCTTCAGTTTGGCATTTTTGCTTGGCTTAATAGGTTTCATTCAGGAAAAAGCCTGGGGTTTGAATAATCCTTACTTTAATACAGCAAAGCTTTCAAGTAAACTTGCATGCCTGTCAGAAACAAGCTTGTTTATCCAAATAAGTGAAGCCATGCCCAATGGTGCCCTGGGCATAGGTCCTTAAACTAAGGCCCATGGGCCGGATCCTGCCCACCATGCCCATTTAACTGGCCCGCCCCACAGGTTTTGCACTCGAGGCTGTGAGAGGCAGAATGTGTGTGCGCCACAGCAGCTTGTGGCTCCCTCAGGAGACCCGAGTCACTTCTCTTTGGAGCCAGGGCCCAAACAGACCGCATGGGCGCCATTCCACTAATTCAGGGATGCTGGGTGGGTGAGACGGCTGCACTGCAAGACTGGGGCTCAGCTACTTGCCCCCGGGGCCAAAGAGAGCATCCTCCACGCTAAACAACTCTGCTTCCCCTCTAGACCTTTATTTCCCGTTTCCGCCGCATCATGGACTCTTCCCAGAATGTTTTCAACGAGGACACATCTGCCTTGGTGGCCCAGCTGGATGAGCTAGAGCGAGCCTTGTTTCAGGCTGGCCAGAAAGGACTCAGCGATTTCCAGTGCTGGGAAATGGGTCAGGCCTCCCAGATCACCGTGTCCAGCCTCGTCCAGAATTACAAGAAGAGAAAATTTACTGACTTGGACACTTGACAGTTAGGCGGGTTCAAGAGGCCTGCAAGGGGGCACTTTCTGATCACAAGAAGACAATGTGGGAACTAAAACCCTTCCTGGCAGCTTCTGGAGACTGCCCCACACGATATTCCTGAGGAATGCTGGCTGATTTCACTTGGGGTTCTTTGTAATCTTTTTGCCCCAGGATCTGTGGAGACCGTGCCTTATGCATAGCACATTAGGGTGTAAGGTGCTCTGCCATTGCTTGCACTGTCCTTGGGGCACACGATGCCCATTAAAAGCAACTTCACTCCTGTTTAAGCTTCTTGCGTAGACGGTAGCAGAAGGCTAGGTCAGCACACGACGGACATGCTGCAGAGCTGCTGGCTTTTGAAATGTGCAGGGTTCGTTCCCCTAAAGTCTTTGTGTCAGGTACCAGGTTGCTCAGCTAAATAGCTCAGCTTTGCCAGGTTAGTGGGACAGGCCCGTCCTCGCCCCTCCCTCTGCCTCCATGGCCAATTGAACACTGTTTTGATAAGTGGGCTCTTGCCTGGCTGCAGTAGTTTGAGCGACTTCCCATTTCTTGCAGTGAGCCATCCGTCTGATAGCACGTAGCTCATTCTACAGGTCACTGCAGGAAATGTTCTCACTGTCACTTACAAACATTAGAAGGTGGGCCTGGTCTGTGCTCTGTAGCAGGAGAACCTCCAGCCCAGCACTAGAATGACGTCTCCACAGCTTCTTCAAAAGGGAATTTGGTCCTCACAGTAGAAGGGTTCAACAGCCGTCCTTCGTAGCGTTAGTTTACTGGAAACCAGTTCTAGGTTCAATTTCAAGGAAGGGAGTCTTCCCAGAACTCAAACGGAGCACCTCCTCAGAAGAAAATGCCTTTGCCACTGGCTTTCCCATCCAGCAATGGCCAAGCCCAGGAAAAGCAGTTTCCAGCTTGTCAGAAAGGCAGTGTAGTCAGTGGTGAGGTTCAGAGAGGGCAGGCAGGAATTTAGGCAGAGGAAGGGTCCTCCAGCTTCTTCTTCAATTCTTGTGCATCCTGCCTCCCAAGACCCGGCCAAGGTGACTTGGAGGCCTCTCCAGGCCTGTCCAGAAGATGCCCGAAGGAGGGCTAGAAGTGCCACAGCTCTTACAGTGCAGAGCCTCTTTCGAAGTAGTATCTAAAGCCAAGGATAAGGGGGCATTTACACCACTTCCTTTTCCATCTTAACTCATGATCTTGTGAAAAATAACTTTTTATATATTCGTGTAACCTGGAATTTATTAAACTACTTTTCTTTTTAAAAAATCCAAACCTTGTTGATTTTATTACTTATTTAATCACTGCATGCCATTAAAAAAATCTAAGTTTGGGCAGCAGAAGAACATCAGAAAAGCCATGCCAGGTTGGACCAATGATCCATCTGGCCCAGTACCCAGTTCATATGGTGTCAAACCAGCTACCAACAAGGTCCCTCAAGCAAATAATCTCCAGAAATGGAGGCAACGCTTAGGCAGAAGACTAGTAGCTGTTGATTATAGCCTACTCCAGGAATTTCTCCTCTGAAAGCCAATCAAATTGGTAGCCATCAATGCTCCACGTGGCAGGAAATGCCAGAGTTTAATATCATGCTGTGTGGAGAAGCCCTTTAATCTGCCTGAATCTCCCATCAATTGGCCTCAAGTCGTGATCCCTTTTGGGCTCTAGCATTACGGAAGGTCCCTCTCCCCTTCTCCCAAACCAGGCATAATTCTGAACAGCTTGCTCACGTCTCGCAGTCACCCTTTTTCTAAGCTCAATGGCCCCGGCTGCAGCTGCTCTTCTCAGGGGTTCCTGCACCCTTCGACGTTTGTTGTCCTCGATAATGTGAAAAAGTATTGGATTAAAATACACAAATGGCTCAAGGAAATGTTACAAAAATCCTTAGCTTTTAAACCTGAAGTTCTTTATTAGGTATTATACTGGAGGATATTAGTAAACAAGAAATGTATTTGATTTCACATGTAATCACTGTGGCGAGGATTGCATTTGCTCAACACTGGAAAAGTGAGGAACTACCCACCGATGAACTGATTCTAAAAAAGATTCTGGACTGTGCAGAAATGGATAGATTGACTTTATCACTGAAGGAGAAAGAAGATACTGACTTCTATCAAACTTGGGACTCTTTTTATTATTGGCTAGAGAAACGGGACTTGGCTTAGATTTAAATGTTTCCAAATTATCATAAATGGAAAAAGAAGGGTGTGGGGGCTGACTCAGCGGGCTCGATATTTTTGATGATGGATGTTGTTTGTAGTTTTTTCGTCTTTGGGGTTTGGTTTTTTTTTTTTAGGATTATAATTTCAAATAAAACTTACTACAAAAAACGTTTTAGTTGTCCTTCTCTGCACTTTTTCTCAACTCTGTAATGGTTCTTTCCAGGTGCAGCAACACAACACGCTGTGGCCACACCAAAGGTGTGTTGCGAGGGGACACTTTTGGGAAATGTGCACCATGTTTGCCTGCCTCAGTGCCGCCAGCACTTCTATCCTCCTCCAGGATTTCTCAAAGATGACAGGGATTTGGAGACTCCCTCTGGCGGTTGCTTTTGTACCTGCGATGACCTCCTAGGTGTGCATGGAGTCTTGAGCGGGGAGGCCTCCCCTTGCCCAAAGATGCTTTACAGCCAGTGTAGAGCGGGTGTTTGTGAAAATGCCAACAAGGGCATACATGTCTCTGCACAAAAGGAAGCGCCTTCAGTGACGGACTACAACTCCCAGGATCCTTGGCTTTTGGCCACACTCACTTGGGCAGCACAGTCTTTAGCCATACTCACAGGGAAGCACCCCGCCCCCGCCCCCCAAGTTTCTGGAAGCTGTCTGCTCCGACCTGAATGTAGGTTTAATAAAAGTAATTGATATATTAAAGTAGCATCCACATTTCCCGCTCTGTCTCCTCTCTGCTCCTTCCTTCTCCTCAAGGATTCTAGGTACCCAAATGTTTCATACCTCAAGTGGCCAGTTCTAACTCAAATACACTTGTGGGGGCTATATGGGAAAGCCTGGTACAGATTCGCTACTCGAGAAGGAAACCATCAGCTCGCATGGGCGAAGAGGGAAGGGTTTTGTGGTGAGCCAACGTGGCCCCGAGGCCAGTAGGAAGGAACCCAAGCGCTATGGCAACTGCGACGTAACAGTGGGCTTCAGCCACGAGAGCGTGTGAATAGAGGCCCAGGCGGCCCTTGCTTCGCTGAACAATGCCGGGAAGTTGGAGGTCCCAAAATCAAGCCAAGAGTTCAATGGTAAAAAAAAATGGGGGGGGGAGGATATGGGTTTGATCTTGGCAGAACAGCTTGGAAATGGGATTTTCCGTTCCAGTAAGAAAGCTCACGAGAAAGCAGTGCTTTGTGGAAAGAACATGATAATCGCAGAATGGTATTTATAGGAAGTCCACCAGAAGGAGAAAGCCGCAAACCCTCACGCAGCAGGAGCAAGATTGTCAGTCCTTCTGTAATTTGGGTCGGCTTGAGCAGCTGACTCCTCAAACTGCTGGGCAAGGAAGGGCCTCCCCAGCCATGCAGCCAAACCCTCGTCCCAGGCTGCCAAAGCCTGAATTTAACTCTCAGAGCAGCTCCCGGGAACGTCTTCTAGCCAGGGATGGGGCCAAACGGACCAGAGCCTCGGCCAGGCTGCATTTCGCCCGCCAGCGTGCGTCTGCAGCCGGCCTCCAGCCGCCAAGTGCAGCACTCGCAGGGGCAGCCCCCTCCTACTGGTGGGCCCCGAACAGCTGGCAGAGCGATGCACCATGCAGGCCGTCCTGCACCCCCAAAGCTCCCCCCGTCCTCCCTGCGCTTGGAAGACGCAGTCGCGTCAGCGGTGTTGAAGTCAGACACGGCTGCCTGCCTTGTCCCCTCTGGCATGTTGGGGGGGGCACAGAACACAGCATGCCCCCCAAACGACTCTCGCTTGTCTGGGTGCGCCCGTGGACGTGGCAAAAATGGCAGAAAGGCTTTGCTCAGTCTTCCCCACGCTGCTGCCCTGGACGTGCCCTACTACAATACCCATACCCCCCTTGCTCACATGGTTCCCCCGACTGACCCACACGCACCAGAAGCACGGCCAGGAACGCACCCAGCGTGCGGGGAACAGGATGGGAAGGCGGCCGTCCCCTCCACCACCGCGGTGTCCGGCCGAGGGAAGGCAGCAGCGCCAAGAACCACTGCTCCAACGCGGCGAGCCTCTTCCATGGCACCGCCTTTGAGGGCGCTGCGGTGGGCAGACGGGCCACTGGCAGCTCCCCCAGGACGCCGTGCAGGACTCTGGCAGCCAGCCAGCAAGGCTGCTGCTGGGGGAGACTGGAGGATGGCCGGAAGCTGCAAGAACCACCTGTGTCTGCCTCTTTCGACAGGGGTGCTGGGCAGGAGGGCTGCTCCTGCTGTGCTCGTCTATCCTGCCCTCTCCTGCCGCCGGTGAGTAAAGCTTCGGGGCCGGGGGTGGTGTCCCTGGGATGGCACTGCCCATGACGGCACGGAAGGGAGGTGGGGACGGGCCGGAGGGAGCGAGAAACGGGCAGCCTGCTGGGCCAGGGTGATGACCAGCAGGCCGTGCCAGGCGCTCGAGTGAGGCCCCCGCGGCCCATTCCCCGGGCGAGTGCTTTCTCACGGCCAGCCGCAGGCTCCTTTCCCAGCCCTGCTTGCTCGCAGAGGGGCAATGCTGGGGAAGCGAGCAGAGCCGCAACAGGCCCCGACGACCGGCCGCCTCTTCCCTTCCCCCTTGCGCAGGCTGCGGCACTCGGCACAGCTCAGTCCCTCTGGGCCCCACGCAAGAGCGGGTGGCCGCAGGCGAGCTCCCCTGGGTGGTGTCCCTGCAGGGCCTCCGCGATGGGCACCTGGCCTTCGGCGCCGTCCTCAGCGAGCGCTGGATACTGAGCGCAGCCTCAGCGTTCCGGAACAGGTGGGCGCCACGGCGGAGGGCTCCCTGCGAGCGCTTCGGCATCCCGGGGGGTGGGACCCCGCGGGCGGGGTGATGCAGTCCCCGCGCGTGGCAGGCAGGAGCAGCACGGCTGGCTGCCGAGGCGACTTGCCGAGGGCAGGGCCCGCTCCAGACCTGCGGCCAGCCCTGGCCCGGGGACGTGCCTCCTGCCCGCCGTGCCGGCACCAAGGGGCCCTTCTCCTTCGCTTCCAGGACCCAGGCCGTGGCCCTGCCTGGCATCCCAGCTCCAAGCGGGCGCCAAGGGCACCCGCTTCTCATCAGTGCCATCATCCCGCACGAGGCCTTTGATGAAGTCACCCTGGCCCACAACCTGGCCCTCCTGAAAACGGCCACCCCGCTCCAGTTCAGCCAGACAGTGCAGCCCATCTGCTTCCCCTGCCAGAGCTCCCCCGTGGCCACTGCCGAGAACTGTGTGCTGGCCGGCGGGCTGCATCCTCACGCAGGTGAGCGACCGCCACACCCAGGCGCCCGCTCCCCTCTGCAGGCAGCCTGCTCGAGGGCACGTCCGCAGCGATGCAGCCCTCTCGCTCCCCTCGCAGCTAATGAGAGGCTCGCGCAAGGTTCCGATTTTGCTTCCCGGGCGTGGCCCCCCGGGCGAGCGCGCGCTCCTGGGCTGACCACCAGACTCCCTCCCTCGACTCCACCTCCTTCCCTGCAAGAAGCAGCGGTTTGGCGGCTCCCCCACTTTTCTGCCTCCCTGCTCCATTCGAGCAGGCTGACAATCCCTCCTAAGACTCGGTTACCGGCAGCAAGACTGTGGGGCAAGCTGCACCTGCGCGTGAATGTGCCCCCTACGACTGGAGGGCACTCCACACTTCTCTTGGGCGGAAAGGTTTACCGTGCCCCTTAGGAATTTCTCCGGTGAACACACATTCCCCCAGGCAGTGCTGGCCGCGGACCTGCACCCACCCCAGGGGCAGTTCTGGAAGAGGCCCAGCACCTGCCTGCCTGGGACACCTCTGCACTTCCGTCGTTCCCCAGCCTGCCTAGGAGCTGGAGCTGGGAATCCACGAGGGAGCCTGCCACACGGGAACAGGCCCCGGCGCTCGGACCACATGTGCTCATGAGCAGCACGCGAGAGCCCACTGGACGGCACTGCCCCTCCCCACCTTTGGCTGCTCTGGCTGGGAAGCGCCGTCCTACACAAGCAGAGACCACCAGGCTGGGAAAGCCCGCGATGCTCTGATTTCAACTTGCAGTTTGCAGAGGCTCATGAGAGCACATTTTACCCCTCCAGAGAGCTGCCCCCTCTCTGGCCTTGCTAAAAGGCCGAAAGGGCAGCTGCTAGCAGAAGAGGGCAGGGTGAGAAATGGCCCCACATGCGCACAGACCCAAGAAAATCCCAAACGGCTCACCTCTTTCACGCCCTGCTCTCTTGGCCTAGACAGCAAGTGGAGCTCTGCAAAAGCTCTCCGTGGTGGACATCAACCCCTGTCCCCTGCCCAGGATCATGGCCACCGAGTGCTGCGGCCACCGGGAAGGCGGCAATGCATCTGGATGCCTGGTGAGGAAGCTGAGCTCTTGGGCTCTTTGTGCCTAACCGCATTTCATGAACCTGGCTAAGGGGGATTCCAGAGGGAGAACTCCTGGCTCCAACCATCACAAGCCACTGGGGAGCCATTCCATCTCAGCGAGCTTCCCAAAGTAAGACGAGTCTATCCGGACACCCCGGGTTACGGAACGATGCAGGCAACCGGGCCTTGGGCACTCGGGGGGAGGCAGGAAGGCGCGCCTGGGTGCTTCGCTGAAGTCAGCTGACCGGCCTGCTTGGGGCGGCCCACAATTGTGGCAGCCGCATCATCGTGAGCAGCGTGATGCCACGAGGGAGACGGCGCTTCCGCTCCTGGTAGGCCCTGCCCTCTCACTCACGAAAGCAGCTGCGGGGCTGGCAGTGTCTTCCCTCCCACAGGACAAAGAGCCACATGGCCGGCCCGCATCCGCATCCATCCTACGGCTCGCGGTCTTTCGGATTCGGCTCCCTCGAGCTGTGCGAGGAACGAGGAACGGTGGGGCAGAAGTGCTCCGAATTGCTGACTGACAGCCTCCTCCTCCTCCTCCTTCTCCTCTTCCGCAGGGACACGCAGGCAACCCGGTCATGTGCCAGACCACGGAGGCGAGGCAGTGGGTGCTCACGGGAGTGCTGAGCAAGGGGGGCGCAAGATGCTACGGGCCGTTTCTTTACACCCGAGTGTCCTATTACAGCGACTGGATTGTGAGCACCACAGCACGCTGTGGATCGCCCACCTCCCCCATTGTGGGCAGCAGGGGGCACGCGGGCTTCAGGGCGCCAGCAGAGGGACACGGGGAGATCCCTGACCCCCTTCTGAACTCCGCCAACTTCCCAGAGGACGACTCCAGCCTTCCCGACACGAGGCAGTCCGGGGAAAACGGCCAGGAGCGCCCGAGTCTGCCCGGTGCCCCCCGGGCCCTGCCTAACCCTCTCTACTACGACTACTACAGTGGAGAGGAGATCCCCATTTCTATGGGGATGCCAGGGCAGCCTGGGGGTCTCCGAGGGGCGATTTCTGGGAGCCTCCTGCTCCACTTTCTGAGCTGCTGGATGGCCAAGTGGGCCGAAACAGCCTGAGGGTGCCCGGTGGGGAATTCTCTGCACAGCCGGGACGCAATTCAGGCCCTGTGGTGCCCACCTCTCCCCTTCCCCAAGAAATTAAACACAATGCCCTCCTTAGGCACCGTCTTCGCAGCCCCCATTGATACGACACAACACCAAGAAAGGCTCCGTGTGGCCACATTGATTTCTATAGTGCGACTCCTCGGGTGCAGACAGAAAAGGGAAAGGGGCAAAAGCGGCAGGGGCCGTGTGAAAGGCCCCCGCCGGGAGGGAGCAGTGAGGCCGGGGAAGTGTGATCCCGCTGCCTCCCACGCCAGGCTCCGCACCCCGGGCTCCTCAGTGGATGCTTTGCTCCGGGAGCAGCGCCTGCAGCTGCCGACTAGCCAGCCCGGCCTTGCGCCAGATGCTGCGGTAGCTCTGCAGAGCCATCTGCAAGAGACAAGCGAGGGCCGTCAACGTGCGACGCAGACTCCCCAGGCCCCACTTCCCCACCCGGCTCCCAGCCGTAGGTCAGCGCTCGCACCGCAAGGACGTGCACCCGCCCCCCGGGGTCCCCCGGGCACTGCCTAGGGCATCCCCAGGCAGCTCCGGAGCCCGTCCTGGCAGCTTGGGAGAATCCCGACCACTGCCAGCCAGAGGCTAGGTCTGCCTCTTCTCTTCCACCCTCCAGGCCAAGGGCAGAGCCTGGGGCGGGGCTGCCAAGGGCACCTGATTCCCCCATGGCCTAACTGGGCGCTTCCCTGGGCAGGACCAGGCCCGAGAGCCTGCGGTGGCCCCCTCCTGAGCCAAGGCCGAATGGCTGATGGTGGAGGCAGCTCCTGTTCGGCATAAGAGTGCCACTGGACTACTGAGCGGCACAGAAATGTGAACAGAAATAAATGCGTAAAGCTGAAAGGCCGCAGCTAAAGCCACTTCTCCCTTGGGACACCTTTGGCCCCTGTCCTGGAGCGCTGGGGCGCCGGCCGGGCTGGCGGGGACCTCTGTCGTGCTCGTCTCGGCACAACCCGCGGCCTGCGCTGCACGGGCCTCGGCAGGGCTGGCCGGCACCCCGTGCTCCTCGAGCGGCAGAGGCGCAGGACCCACACGGCCATACCTGCGCAATTTCCACCTTCCTCTCCCAGATCTTGATGGTGTTCTCAAGTCCATGGACTGCCATCTTCTCATGGACGTAGTTGAGGACCGGGGGCACTCTGTACTCTGCCAGCTGCCTCCGGAGCTGTTTGTTCAAGGCCTCGGCTGCCTTCCGCTCCTATGAGAGAAACGGGACGGACAGCAAACTCTCCTTTTGGATTCGGTGCCTCATTTTGTCCCGTGCGGGGTCAGCAGCAACTGGGGCAGGGGAGAGTTAGACCACGGAAATGGCAGCAGAGAAAAGGTGCAGCAGGGGCTTCTCCAGCCTCACTGGGCCAGTAACATTCGGAGCATCTTGTGGCACGAAAGATTCTTAAAGGAAGTATAAAATGTAGCCCTCCGGAAGGTCCACGCTCTGGGGGAGGAGCCAACTCTGTCCCATGCCCAGTGTGAGGAGATCCCTGGCATCTCCCCCGGATGTGCTCCCCAAAATGCAAAGGCCCACTGTCCTCCCCACTGACTTCCTTCCCCTCCTCAGAGAAGTCCTCCCTTCTGCTATCCCAACCATCCTCCTCAGTTTGTAACCTCTTACCCTGAATTCCTGACAGCACGCTCATGCCCTGGCCAGACTTCTCAACTGCAGGAAGCAACCCCATCCAGTCCTGACACAGCAAGCGCCCTTTCACGTCTCCATCCTGCCACTACTTCCCGGCTGCCACACCATCTCTGCCGGTGCCTCCCTTCAGCCTTACCTCCTCCGCAATGGTGGTTTCACGTACAATTTTTTCCAGGGACTCCTTTCTCTGGGCATGGTCTTTCACCAGCAGGGTGGCCATGGCTGTTGCATTCTGCAGCTTCTTCTGGAAAACAGCAGGACAAGCCAGGCTGAGACGGGTGGGACGCGTGGCCCGAGTCGACCTACGCAGACACTGCTTTTGCTCGCTTAGTACTGGCTGGCCACGCACCTTGCAGTGGGTGAGCAACTGCAGCTGGAAGCCGGGGTGTCCATCGCCCCATCACTTCCCAGCTCAATCCCTCCTGCTCTTTCGCCTCCCCTCAAGGGAAGTCCCAGGAACAGTTCCACCCCTCAGGGCTGCGAGAGATGTCCTGCTTGCTGTGCAGCCAACTCCTCGCTCCCCAAAGCAACATGGCTGTGCCCAGTCTGCCCTCGTGCTGGGATGCAGTGGTGGGGGACGAGGGCCAGCCAGCGGTCAGTGGTGGGGGACGAGGGCCAGCCAGCGTTCAATGGCCAGGGACAAGGGCCAGCCAGCGGTCAGTGGCCAGGGACAAGGGCCAGCCAGCGGTCAGTGGTCGGGGACGAGGGCCAGCCTGCTGGAACAGAACCCCTTGTCAGTGGGCTGCAGCTTCCCAGGTCCGAAGCTCCCACAGCTGACCGGTCCGGGGTATGCAGCACTCTCCCAGCGGTCTTCTGCTGACCACCAGGCCTGCTGAGGGACTGCCCTGCAGCTGGGTCAGAAGCTACAGCTTGTGCGGAACACGGCAGCCGGGTGCCTGGGGGAGCCTTCACCCTGGGCTGAGGACTCCTGCGCTTAAACCTTCGCCCAGGCTTGGCGCACTGCTGCTGCTTGTGAGGTCCTGTGCTGCTCAGGGCCGGGAACCTTGTGGGGGGGGCTGGGTTTTCAGCCCCTCCTGTGGCCATTCCAAGCAACACCTGCAGAGCTCGCGTTGCTCTTACTTTATAGAAGTTGAGGATCTGGAGTGCGCTGCCCACCGTCAGCTTCAGCTGCAGCAGGTCCTGGTTTCGCTCATCGATCTTCTCCAGGAACTGGGCATTCTCAATTTTCAGCTGCTGGAAATCGACCTCGTGAAGTGCCTCTCCCAGCTCCTCCTTCTGCAGACCAATTGAGAACAGTGACAGTCACTGGCACACCATCCGTTTCTCTTTTTTTAAAAGTAAATTTTTACTTTCATAAAACTGAGCCATACAAATAAAAAACACAATTAAATTGTACAAAACCGTGACGAAGCGTGCACCCACCACCGGGACCATTTAGGAGCACGTGAAATCATTTGCCCTTTCAGAAAGCCCCGTTCTCCTTACAAAATTGCAAGAAATCTTGCGAAGGTTCAAACCCTCTCCCTTTTCTATTCAGTAAGTGCTCCTCAGACACCATCAAAATGATTATTTTTCACTTTAATATCGCATGTTAATTTATTCCAAGCTTCTCTGTACCAATCACTCAACTGATAGTCATATTTCACTTTCTACTACTTTGCTATAATTATTTCACAGCTGCTAGCAAGTCTGCTGCGAACTCTTTAGTATTCCATCTCCACTGTACCTCCTCAAATAAGGACAGTAATGTCACTACAGGATTTACTTCAATATTTAAACTCCATATTTTACTACTTTCTTTAAAAACTCATCTCCAAGCTTCCAGTCTATGTTCACATTCTACCCTCTATGCCACGGCTGTTGCCTTTGGGCCCTCGGAGCCCTCCCTTCCTGGGGAAGCCCCCGGATTGACATGGACCACACCACAAGCTGCCCAGGGGTCATTCGGCTAACAGGTGGGGTAGAAATGGAAGGAACAAGCACACCGGCACACCAAGCCAAGACACTTCCAGGTGGGAACTCCCTGCTGAAGGGTGACGTACCTGCTTGAGCTGCAGCTGCAGCTTCTTCTTCTGAGCCTTCAGAGAATCATTTTTCAAGCGGATTTTCTCTTTTTGCACATCCTGAAAGAGAATCGTGCCTGCTTTTTTTCTCAGGCTTGCAGCTAAAACTTGATCCTGGGCCCATATCAACATGCAGGGAGGGGAAGGAGCTCTCCTGGCCCCCGGCTGGGGTCAGGCGCCCTGGGCGTGCACCCTTCCCAGTGAAGCCCCCAGGCAGAGAGGGGGCGTCACCTCGCCGCCAGCCTCTGAGCTCCAGGACCCAAACTCTGCTATCCGTGGAGAGGCCCCACCACCCTCACTTGGCACCACCCTCTGGGCCAGCGGTTCAGCCTGCTTCTCCATGGCTTCAAGGTGCAAGCAAAGTACTTGCCGGCACGAGGAGGGAGAACCAGCCAGTCCCACGGAGAGAGGCAGCCAAGCAACCCACAGCCTTGCCTGTCAGGTGCCCCGGGGGGGGGGGCGGTGAGGCAAATCGCACGCCCCTGCCTCTAGGGCAGCGACGGAAGATGCAGAGCTACTTTGACAGAAATGGTGGGGCGCGGTGAAGCATTCCATGCTGGGAGCAAGAACCGCCAGGAATAGGCAGAGCATGGCCAGCCCTCCCTTGTGAGGCAGAGGGAGAGGGGTGGACAAGGCTGTGGAACGAACCCAGCACGGCATGGACCCAAAGGGCCTGGGGAAGCTACCAGGGAGAGCCACACACGGAGGCACGGCGACTGACCCTGCTGCGTATCTTGTCCTCCATGTAGCGCAGCACCTTCTCGGAGGCGATGACGCTCCCCTTCTTCTTGGTTATGGCCCTGACGATGTCCTTGTCAAAGTCCACCATGGCCCGCCTGATGTCGGCCATGCGGATGTCTGCTTCCTCCAGGATGGCCTGCAGAATTCCAGGCCCATTGAAAGGAAAGAGACGGCCTGCCGAGGCTGCTCCCTTACAGCAGGCCTGAATCTCTAATCTGTTGCTTGGATTAACTATTAATTGTACTGCTGACTCTTTAATGCGGAGCATGCGTTTAATAATTCAATTGCTCTGTTAATTTTGTTTTTATTATTGGAAGGGGCGCCCAGGGCATCTGCTAGCTGAGCAGATTAAATCTGACTGGCATAAGTGTACGCACAGCGGCAGGGTCTAGCCCTTAGCCAAAAAGCTCTCCGAAGTTGGTCATGCCCAGTGGGGATGACAGCTTGGGATGAGATCTGGAAGGAGAGTCAAACTCCTCTCTCCAAAGCATGTGTGAGTGCATGGCGTGGCTAGACACCGGTGCAGTGGAGCCAAGTGCACAAGGCCCCAGTGACGGGGCCCTTGCCATCCCGTCGGACCTCTCCATTCCCGCTGATCGTGACTGCCCTCTACGTAATGGCTGGAGAGAAACGGATCTTCCCAGCGGCATCCGGCATTTGCAAGCTTGCTCTCTCATGCTGCTGTGCATTTTGTGGTAGCTGGGCCTGTAATGGCTGGGGGAATCCATTACCTTTACGAGACCCCCTCTGGTGAAGACGAAGGCTGGGTTCAGACAATAACCCAAACTCAAGGGCTGAGTGTAGGTTGTCATCGAACCATGGGTTGTGTTGAAAAGTGGTTATTGCAGGGGCCCTCAAACTTTTCCAAAAGGGGGGCAGTTGACAGCTGCCGGTGCTGGGTGCGGGCCGGAAAGGTGGTGCCCGCGGTGTGCACGGGCTGGCGCAGGGCCAGGGCATGCGGGCATGCACGCTGAGGCGGGGGCAGGGTGCGTGGCGAGGCCAAATGAGGCGAGGCGAGGTGAGGCGGGGGCAGGCACGCACCGCAAGGCGGGTGCACAAGGCAGCGGTTTGCTCGCTTGGAGATCATTTTCTCCGAGCGAGCAAACCGTTGCCTCCCTGCGCATGGGGCAAGGTGGGCGGTGGCGGGTCCAAATGGGCCCGGCGGGCCGGAACCGGCCCCAGGGCCGTCGTTTGAGGACCCATGGGTTATTGTGTTGCCTAAACGCAGCTGAGATGACTAAACATCATGAACAAACCAAGAACAAATTGTGGGTTCTCTTCATGGCTTGTTTGTGGTTAAGAATTCATGGCTTGTTAGCACAGCTGGATTCAAGTAACATGGTAACCCACAATTCAGTGATAACCCACATTCAACTCCAGAGTTTGGGCCCTCATGTTGCCTTAGCCCAGTCTTCATATCCGTCCAAAAGCCTTGTGTGAGGTGGATGGGCGGGGGGTTGTTGCCGAAGTGGGCGCTTTGCACACGCGGGTGCAGGGGAAGCACTCCACAGCTTCGCAGGATGTGCAGACCTGGCAAGGGTGGAACGGTCAACAAGCACCCCACAACGGAACACAGCTCACGGGGGCCGAGTGGCTTCTCAGCCCACCCTTCTCCAGGTTCACAAGGGGCAAGAAGCTGAGGCACTGGGGCTTGGATGAAAAGCCCACCTCCCATGGGCGGAAGAACCCCACAGGCCTGGGAAACCGCAGGGGGACGTGGCAATCCTGCCAAAGGGGCAGTTCTATGCCTTTCTCTCCCTCCTCGTGACATTATGCTCTGAATCACTGCTTGCACAAGGAGTGCTGGGGGCTCATACACCAGTAGAAAGTTCAACGCGGCTGGCCGAATTTTTGGTGGCCATGAAAATAGTTGCCGTGACTTCCAAATGTACCATTACGCTTTTGCAGGCGGCACTCAAGGGGCCTTCCTCAAAGCATAGTGGTCACTGAGCTGGCACCAGCTAAAGACCAAGAAGAATTCGGGTGATCCCAAAGCCAAATGTTCTCAATGTTAACCCGCCCTGGCACTCGCAACAGGTGGTGGAAGGGGGTGTGATTCTCCGCCACCTCAGCTAACTCTTGTCTGGACATGCAAAGATGGGGCCTGGGGAGGACGGAATGCACGGCCCCATGCTGGAATGCAGCAGCACAAGTGTGTCCACACGCCAGACATGCAGACAACTGTACCATGTAGTTCTGCAACTTCCTTTCGGAGTTCTCTTTCATCTGCCGAATGTCTTCTTTAGTCTCTTCCAGCTCCCGCTGCGCTAGGTCGCATTTCTGCTCCACTGTCAGGCATATCAGTCGGTCTGCTGTTAACCGGGACTTCGACTTGCGCCTGCCTCGCGTCTGGAATGCAAAGAAAGGTACAAAGAGGGGCGCCCAAGTCTAAAGCTGGAGCCACAAAAAAGGCTGCTGTATGCCAACAATTGCCAACACTGTTTCGTCTTTCCTTTTTCAGAGTAAATACTGCTTGTCCACTATCTTGGATGGTATATGTGGGAAATTAGATTCATAATAGTTCTGTCTGCTGAGATGTTCCACTGTGTTTGAAGGGGCTTACTCAAGTGTAAGCGACTACAGGTGTGATTACATTCCAAGAGTTGTGACTAATTCGCAAGTAGCAGGGCAACGAGAGCAAGGGCTGGCCCTTCTCAGGATGCAGGAACACACGGTCCCATGACGGGGCTGCATCAGCGGCGTCACCACTGGTAAGAGGCCTGGATCCTTCCCATCCCAAGGCCCAAATCCCATTTTAGGAGCTCAGGGGTGGAGTTGGGCTGCATCCCAGAGGGGGTGCGAGGGCAAAGAGGGTGGGGAAAAGGGGCAGCCAAAAATACCAGTGTTGCCTAGCCTAAAGCTCCTCCTGCTAGCAATCAAGGCTTGGGGGTGTCACTCCTGCCTTTCAGAAGGGCGTGTGGGAAAGCTGCACAAATATCAATGAACAGCCAAACAGCTCGTGGGGGGGGGGGGAGGGGGGGCTGCACGGCTAATCTCTGTTGCTGCAGGGCCAGTGGTACCGATCGGACAGGAACTCTGAAAACCCTTGTAATTGTGGAGGAGTTGAGAGAAGTGTACCGGAGGTGAGCTCCTTGGAAGAAGGTGTGATATAAGCCTAAATATCTGAAAGTCAAACGTAAGATCATAAATAAAATCTTAGCATCAAGAGATGAAGTAAAGTTATGAATATGAAGGGGAGAAATGGATGATCCGTATGCAGAACTGCGCACACGGTGGGGAAGTGGGCCGTGATGTGCAGAATGCGTGGCACCACCCTCCGAACCCTGAAAACAACAGGAGCACAATCCCCGCAGCATCACCCTCGAACTCACGTGTTGCACTTGCCCCAGGTCTGGTGAAGAGCCGTGTTTCTCAGGTGCCGCTTCCTTTGTTTCCATCCGATTGAAGTATTTCTCAAACATCTCTGTCTCAAGTTTAAGCATGGAATTGGCATGGCTGGACAATGACGAAAGACTCGGTGAGCAAGAGCTGGGTGCAGTGCGCTGAACTACTACTGGCTTGTGCATATATAACCCACCACACAATGACCAAGGAGGGTGCCAGCAGTGCCAAATTTGGGGGAGACAAAACTCGCAACTGCTGTCTGTGGCAAAGAAGGGGCAGTGTTCGCAAGCTGCTTTGACAGCCCCAACTGCACCACAACCACAAGCACGATTACAAAGTGACTGATTAATACAGAAAGGACCTTTGTTGTGGCCGTGCCCTGGCCACAGAACATCCCTTGCAGAGATATCCTTTGTGCGCACGCGTGTGTGTAAATTATGGAACTATAACAACTGAATCATCTCAGAATAGGTATTCCAGGATGTTCTTTTAAACTTCTTATAATCTTCCTGCATAAAAATTAAGCATATTCAACTAATACCAACTACCTTTACCTTCTTGGAAGTGTCTAGCAATCTTTAAAATAGTTAATAATTGTAATACATCTCACTTTAACCTTTTCTCTAAGCCACTTTTTCAATTACGATGGCAGAATTCAGAATGAGGCTTTAGATTTCTTCCTATATATTCAGTCTTTTTATTCTTTAACTGCTACAGTCCCTTCCAACTTTTACAAATCTAGAAATGCAAGGAGCATATTTTAAATGAATCAGTAACTGATGATGTTTATTTAATATGCCAGTGAACGTTTCAATGAAATTAACCTTTTGAAAAACAAGCATGCCTTGAACTATGCTAAATTCTCAGCATTTGGTTTATTCTAGAAATCTAGAATAAATATTTAGTTAAATCTAGAAACATGAACACTGGCCCAGGGCAGGTAGCAAAAGTGGCACTGAAGTCAGGTGCCCATCAACACGGCAAACCCGACCTTTCCTCACGGCATTTCCCTGCACGACGCACCTGTCCCGTCCTAGGGCCCTTGGAGGAAGGAGCAGTGCCTTTTCTGAAACTCAGCCCTGCGTTCTTGGTCGTCCGCGCGGTTGTTCTCTGATCTTACTCTATTTCACTGACTCTTCCTTGGAGGCGAGGGAGCGGGGCGAGGAGGGCTCCTACTCGTGCAGGCTCCCAGGCATCGCGCGAGCCCGCAGCGCCCCGGTTCCGGCCCCTCGAATGAGGGCGGCGGGAGGAGCGGGCGCGGCCCGGGCAGGCCCGCAGGGCGCTTCCGGAGGTGCGCCAAGCGAGGACCAGCACTCGCCGCGAAGGGGTGATGAGCGGGGAAGCGCGGCCGCGGCCGGGCCTCCGGCTGCCCCCCCTTCCCGGCCCGCCGCGGAACGATCCCGGGGGCAGCCCCCGAGCGCCGCGGACGGAAACGGGCTTGGGCCGCCGCCGCCGCCGCCGCCCGCCCTGCCTCCCGGCCTCCCTCCCGCGGGGCCGGGCCGGGCCGGGCGCACCTGGTCTCGTCCACGAGCGCGCGGAGCTGCCCCAGCGAGAGCGGCGCCAGGTCCTGCTGCAGCTCCTCGCCCAGCTCGCGCGACTCGCCCGTGTGGACGCTGCCGCGCTCCGACTCCTCGTCCGCCATGCTCGCCCAGGCCAGCGACGTCGCCACGGCGACGCGCTCCGGCTCCGGCCCCGGCCCGCGCCGCCCGCCCGCCGCGCCCTCTCCGGCCCGGGCCCGGCCCGCGCCCGCCATCCCGGC